TGAACCTTGCAGGCTGCAGAAATTGACTCTTATTTTCTAATGCACTCTGTTTCTGGTTGGTACTTGCATGTTTAAAAGCACAATGAACTTCAGGGATTAATTTGTGTATTTTCTTTTGTATTACCAATTACTGATATTTACTTACCACAGAAAAATAAATAAATAAATAAAGGAACTTCTGGGATTTTCTTTGTTGGCCTGTTTACTTCTTTTTTTTATTTTTCCTTTTTTTTGTGGAAAGGTAAATGGACTAAAGGGTTGTTTTTAGTTTGCTCTTTAGGGGACTAAATAAGCTGAAGTTCCTTTTTAAAAACTTTATCATACTTGAAGAAACCCTCACATGCCTTCAAAGCAGAGAGGTTCATGTTTTCAATGATATGGCATGAAAAAGACAGGAATGCATAAATTTGAGTAATGTTGGTGATTTTTGGGGTCACGAATTCGGAGACGCCGAATAAAGAATATGTAAGATGGGTGTGAACTCTACTAGCACATGACATGGTAGGGCCCACACCCTTACTCACATTACACCACATTTAATTGACGACATCATTCAAATTCAGAAGATGTATCATTTTTCTTTAGATTATAAGCACTCCTTGGTAACGCTATTTCTGTAGGATTAATACATTACGTGAAATGATACTCTTATAGATATTAAGAGGTCTAGAAATTGATGTTCAATAGAACAAAATTTAAGCATGATCATATCCGATCAAATTCAAATTTAATTATAATATCCGAAATTAAATAGGATTTAATTGAGAGAAACAAGTGACTTGTCTGAAATCAACAACTGCCAAAACCTGATTATGTTATATGTCGAACAATAATTAATGATAAAAAAAATTAATAAAATGATCTCATTGGAGTCTTTTGCACTTTTAGAAAAGTAATTCTTTATTTGAAGAGGAAGCAATTTTATTAGATTGAGTGGCATATATAAACAACTTGGCGTTGGGTACAGGTAAGCTTCCTAATTTGTATACGTTATATTAATAAAATAGTATTTGGTCACTAACGAACTTCTAATTATTCCTTTATAATACCACCTACCCAATAAAATACATTTCATGGCAACGTTAATTGGGGTGTCCTAATCTTTTATTGGGGGAGTCCTCTCTCTCCCTATATATATATATATATATATATATATATATATGTAGGCATGTATATGTATCAATTAAAAACAGCAGTATTGATTATGAAATTTTAACAAGAGATAAAAATTGTTGTGGAATCTTAGAAAAACAATGTGGATATATCAAGGTCATTCTATTAAATAGAAACTAGCATGAGAGGAAGAGAAGAGTAAGGCATTTTTTATTTTTTTATTGTGTCATGCATGGCCGGTCTTGGGCCTAGGCGGTTTGCCTAGGACCTCCAATTTGGAAGGACTTCAAATTTAGGATATAAATTAAAAATAAATAAAAAATTTAGGACTTTGGCTAATTTTGATGGGCCTCAAATTTTAAAGTTTGTCTAAAACCTCTCAAAATTTAGGGAATGTCGGGATCGGTCTTGCGATTACGGTGATGTCAAGCCTCTTAGAACACTTTATAATCACTAAACACGTACAGTCTCTCCTTTCCACGGCACCACGTGAAGCAATTATGGAATTTTTTTTTTTTTTTTGGAGGCAGCTCCAATACCAAAGGTAAAAGTAAAATAAAATATAAAGTAATTCATCTGTAAGAGGTTGGTAATGAATTGTGGTACTTAAAAGCTTGTGGCACAAATGATTTACTTATGATTCAATCCCACTGATTTTGGTTAATAGTTTGTTTGAACATCTAATCGAGTTTTCTTTTCTACTTTCTAGCGCTGCCAAAAAGATATTAGTGCTTAGTAATTATTATATTGTTTAGGGATTTGATGTGTAAAAGAAATTTCATTAATATATTCCATTCTTAAAAAATATCTAATTTTCAGCTATCTACAACAGTCTGAAAGTACTTATTATGGTGTCCAAAGTCCAAATAAAAATCAAATTTCAAATAAAAAGCATTTTTAGAATGTCAAATTGTAATGATAAGAGCCGCAAAGGTGGATGCTATGGACGGTTAGATTTTGTTGACAATAACCCCTCCTCAAGAAACAAGAGGAGAGAGAAAAAATAATAATAATAATAAAAATAAAAATTCTACTAAAGCAGTCGTCTAGCCGAGAGAAGTGTGTCGGTGATCCAGTCTCTTTTTTTTATTTTTTTTGGTTTTTTTTCTCTCTTAGAGCACAAGACACGCATCATTCAAATAAAGAGTGTGGTTCGAAATTGAAATCTTAAGGACTTGCCTTCCGAATTTCTATCAAAGTCTTTGTGTCTCTGAAGATGAGTCTCCCTTTTTCATAATATGTCAAAATAAATTAAAAAAAATAAAATAATAACTCCCTCCGTTTTAAAATAAATGTCCTGAACTGAATAAAAAATAAATAAAAAATAAAAAATATATATAAAAATCAGCAACTACAATATTTTGATGTGCAAGTGTGCAGCATAAAACATTAATTTACAATTCGAACAATCATACAAGCATTAAAACTCCTACTCCATCTTTTTCACCATAATTAATAAAATATCCTAAGATGGCTACAAGGACCTTCCATTAAACTCCCTGCCGTTTGGTTTGATCAATCCCCAAACATCTTTCTCACTCAAAAATGGCATTTGTGTAAATACCACTTTATATCATATTCGGGTGCTTTTGAAAATCCCATGAAACATTTCATTAGGGATACGTGGATGTTCTTATTATTTGTTAAAAAAAAATTAAAAAAAGAACAAATAAAGTTCACATGAATTTCAATCATTTTCAATAGATACTTATAAACAAGAAGTAATATTATGAAATTGAAAATTGAAAGATAATGAAAAGGCGTTGTATTTTTAATTTAATATTATTTAATGTTTCATTTCTATGTAATATATGGTACGAATATTGTATATTCATAGTAAATGTATTACGAGAATGTTGCATTAATATTGCAGGTATGATGAATAGCATATACTCGATAGAGTGTGTGTTACTTCTTCAAGAACACTTTTATCTCCACCTGCCAAAAGTTTTTTAGTGCCAAAATCTCTCATAGAACAGGCTTTTCTTACACCAGATCCAACTAAAACAAAGTTTTCTAATTAAAAGTGCTTATGGTATGTCGCGTCACAGTCCCAAAATGACACTGTTATATCTATAGTATAATAGAAAAATTGATTCATCATGGTCAATTCATCATATATTAGTTAATCAATGCATTTTTCAAAATCAAGGGATTAAATTAAATTATTAAAAAATGTCTTTATCACAATCTTGTCATCACACCATAACCATTAGTGATCTCTGATCATGGACAATCTTTTTTTTATTTTTTTATTTTTTATTAATATATCAACCTATCAATCACAGCCCAGCAACCATGCACGGCACGTCATCATCCCAAACCTGCAAGTGAAATGACTAGAATACCCATGCTCTTTTAAAAATAGCCAATAATGCCCCTGGACGATCTGATCTTGTTGACACGTGAACATTGGAATTTTTGGTAGTTTTGTCGGGTCGTTTTCGCGAGAGATTCGATTCAGTATCGCACCCGTGACCACAGAGGGTGTTTTGGTCATTTCATTGTTCACGGCGGCTCTTTGTGGACTTTTACAGTGGCAATTTTGTGGTTTTGGCTGGTTGGAAGTGTTCTTTTTGGAAAAGAATTACTTTTTTGAAAAAAACAGCCGAAAAGGACAAACCAGCGACCGGAAGCTCCCATCCGCCAGCAATGTCTGGAATATAGTTGTTTGAGTTGCACTCTAGTAAATTGAACTACCTAAATTGCCCCTAAACCTTCTAATTATAACTAAAAACCCAGAACTATTAGTTCTAAAATCTCTCATTTTTTTCTTTTACCCCCAACTTTATAAAATTTCATTTTTGCATGTATATTCCTTTAAATTTTTTATTTTCGCCCCCCACTAAACTTTAAAAATTTTCATTTTTTATACATATAATTCTATAAAATTTTAAAATTACCCTTCCTCAAATTTTTTTATTACATTGCGTTTCCCTTAACATAATTTCTGGCTCCGCTCCTGCTTACAACTGAATATGCAGATATTAATATGTACCCCTTTATTACACTTTCTTTCACTTTTTCCAGTTTTCTACTGCCATTTTATCAAAATTCTTTACTTAAATATTTACGTTGCACGCCTATATAGTTTTTCTACTGATATGGGTAGTTTTACTATCGACCTAAGAAAAACTACCCAAGTCATATTTTTAAGTAGATTAAAATATGGATGGACAAAACATCATTTTTCCTGGAATCCAAACACCTGATCTGCCAAAACCTCATACTGACTCTTTAAGGTCCAACAGTAGCATGAACTAATAATAGAGAATGAGTATATTGTGAAGTGACAAGCATGTGCTAGGTTTCTTCTTCATTTTTTTATTCCCCAAAATGTGAACCATGAATTATATCAAACTTTTCATGTCCAAAAGGCATTAATTAATTTAGATGGTATGATTTCTCTTTTTCAAAAGAATAATTGAGTATTCAAGCACTGCTTAAGACAACGTTATGACATGTATACGTTTATTTATAACATCATACTTTGATAACATATTATAAATCATTACTTGTAAATACTGACATATATAACATGAGTTGGGATCCAATCATCCAATAATTAACATTTGGAATTTGAACAAATAGTTAAAAAAATCATCTTATATTGACCGATAATGTCATTCTAGCTTCTTCTTATTCTCAAATTAAAGTTATTCTAAACCTTGTCCTCATTAGGATACAAATTCCAACCTTTGTCCTTATAGTAGTGGATAGATAATTAACGAATGGTTAGTAAATGTAAACACACCAAAAGGGCAATTCCTTAAATACCCAACAAAGATAGGGCATATATGTTGAGAAAAAAGCTAACCAACAGTATCCAAACAACCTATTGTATAATTATTTATTATAATATATACAAATAAAATCCAAACAAGACCTCTCTCTCTCTCTCTCTCTCTCTCTCGTGTCCTTCTTGTGACAATTAACAAGGAGCTAGCTCTTCTCTCCTCACCAGAAATGAAGGAGGGAATTCCCTTGTTTTTTGTCTTCTCCTCTTGTTGTACAGCAAATCCCAAGTTTTGTGTTCATCCAAAAAATAAATAAATAAATAATTAAAGAGAAAGGAAACAATAGAGATAGAGAGGGAGAGCTAGAGTTTGAAAAGAAGAGAAGAGAAAGACAAAAGTTCGTAAAAAAAGTTCTTTTCCTTTCATTTTTTCCCTCTCTCTCTAGCTTTCAATGTCAAACATCTCAGCTGATGGTGGGAGCTTCTCTTCTGGCAACACTGGTGGAGATGAAGTTCTTGAAAAACAGCTACAGCAGCAGCATCTGATATTTAGTGACCACTTCAATGGCTCTGATTTGGTGCCTACACCTGATCACATTAATGATGGATCAAGTTCTCAACTGCCGGTTAAGAAGAGAAGAAATCTACCGGGAAATCCAGGTAATTAATTAATCGAGTAATTAATTTTATACCTTTTATTTGCGATTTTATTGCATAGCTAGTATGAAGTTTGGTGATTTTTAATTAATATTGAATTTTATGTCTTTCATTGTTTTTTTTTCTTGTGAAATTTTGTTTTATATTTCTCTGCTGATTTGATCTAAATTTTAGTTAAAATTAACAGAAACTTGAAGTGGAGAATTGTAAGATTCAAATCATTCATTTTTCTTAATGTTTAATCATTTAGTTTGTTTTATATTTATTTAACTTTTTTTTTCTAAAGAATTCGATGGCCATTTTTTTTTTTTTTTTTTGGTATATAGGAGTAATTCAAATGGAAAGTCATAGTTGGACAGGCCTTTACATGGTTAATATATATAACATAATAAATAATGTTCATTTCAAAAATATAATTAAAGGAATGGGACTGAATTGAAGTAAGTCAACATATATATGCAGGAGGCAGATTTAACTTTATTTGTAAAAAAAAAAATTGAGAAATTTTGGTGAGTTATTTAAACTTAATGGGTATTTAGAAAGAAATAGAGAATTATTGAAGTGTAGGTTGTTGAGCTCAATTATTGGTTGCCTGATTACAATAATTGCAGTAAACAGTTAGCTTGCCTTGATTGCCTCTCCTTTCGTCTTTACTGTTGTTTTTAACTGTTTCGAGTAAGGGAATCATTTGTTCCTGTGCATGCAATATCAGTATATATTTTCCTCTCTCTCTCTCTCTATATATATATATATGATTCAGGGGTGAGTACCTTTTGATTCATTATCATTCTGTAGTCCTATTGGAAACTTTAATATGTTCAAGAACACACACTGTACAATTAAATATACCATATATATATACATATATAAAGCCAGTTACATCTAATAAGATCACAATAGAATCAAAAAGAAAATTAAAATAAAAATCTGTTAAATTATGAACATGAATTTTTTTTAGTTAATTAGCATATAATTTATAAATCAGGAACTTATCAGTACTAATTAATTTTTTTTTTTCATTAATTGAAAATGTAACATGCAGATCCCAGTGCTGAAGTCATTGCTCTATCACCAAAAACCCTAATGGCAACAAACCGATTCGTGTGTGAAATTTGCAACAAGGGATTCCAAAGGGACCAGAACCTTCAACTGCACCGTCGAGGCCATAATTTGCCATGGAAGCTCAAGCAGAGGACGAGCACGGAGGTAAGAAAACGCGTCTACATTTGCCCTGAAGCTTCATGCGTCCACCACAACCCGGCTCGCGCATTAGGTGATCTTACAGGCATTAAGAAGCATTTCTGTCGAAAACATGGCGAGAAGAAGTGGAAATGCGATAAGTGTTCCAAAAAATATGCAGTGCAATCGGACTGGAAAGCTCATTCAAAGACCTGTGGTACAAAGGAATATAAATGTGACTGTGGTACCATCTTCTCCAGGTTTAATTCCGACAATCTAATTCGGAAATTTAAATTTTATTTTTGGTTTTTTTACAATTATTTTGCTTCCCATAAAAAATATTTTTCATAATTTTAATGCTAGCTAGCATTGCCAAAGTTTCCTTGTTTGACTATATACAGTGTATTTTACTGATGAGTCATCCTATTTTAACATGCATGATATGGACTACTCCAAGTAGCATTAAAATAGATCACCATAGCAAATGATATATATAGTACATTATAAACATATAGTAAAACAAATCAAATTAATTAGCTCTTGACATGACTGAAAATGTATAATATACAAACAAATTAACAATTTATGCACAGTACTACATATATATATGTGTTTGCAATTTTATTATATTAACAATAAATCTTTATTTTTGGTTAATTGTCTTATATGCTTATGTTACTTCTCTATACCTAGTTTGACTATATACTCTTAAAATATTGTTTATTTGACTGATAAGTCATTTTCTAATATTTTAACAAACATGCATGATATGAACCACTCCATGTAGCATTAAAATATATATATCACTATAGTAAATAATAATAAATTATAAACATATAGTAATTTACAATGTACAAGTCATAGTCTTTGTGGTCCTCTCTCTCTCTCTCACACACACCTAGTTTCTTCTTCTTCTGCAGAAGAGATAGCTTCATCACTCACAGAGCATTCTGTGATGCCCTAGCTGAAGAAAACAACAAAGTAAACCATGGCTTGACAGCAGCCAACATGGAAGGTGACATACAAGGCCAACTCTCCGACACCAAAAACCCGATAAAGCCACTGTCCCACGAGCTCATGCCGAGGTCTCAGAAGCCCTTGAACATGGCAGGAAGCATGTTCTCAAGTAACCCTACAAGCCTCTTTGGCAGCCCAAGAAACATGTTATCATCCTCTTCTAATTGCCTTCAGCTTAGTGCAAATTCATCGGAGGACTTCAATAGCCACCAAATAGCCGGCTCAGGCCAGATGTCCGCGACAGCCTTGCTACAGAAAGCAGCCCAAATGGGAGCCACTGCAAGTAGTAACGTGAGCTCTCCGATAATTCAAAAGGGCTTTGCCACAAGCATGGCACCGTCATCATTTAATGGGCTAATGCCACAGCAACTTGGCAGCTCATATGACCACATTCATCCCCAAACCGATCAATCACAACTTGCCGGTCTCATTGGTGGATTCACAAGCCATTTCTTGCAAAAGGGACCTCAAGAAACTTCGTCGTCACAGTTTCTTGACGCTAGCAATGGGGTGCATGACATTGGAATGTACAATAACGGACTAGTGTTCAATCAAAATGAAGGGTTGTTAAAGAACACGACGGAAGAGCATGATGATACTAATAGTAATTCTAATCAAGGGTTTCGTGCGCCTACAAGCGCGATGACTGTTGATTTTCTAGGGATTGGAGGGATGAGACCGCGGAATTTTCGTGAACGACAACAGCAAGGAATGGAGTTTGATGAAGCAATAAGTGATCAGGAGAGAATGCAGGGTTTGAATCCCTTTCAACAACAAATCTGTAATGGGCAAGCAACCTTAGAGAAACACATGTGGGATGTTTGAGAACACCACAGTGACTTTTTTCTTCACCTTGTCTTCTATTTTTAGTTCTTTGGTGTAATTTTGTATTAATCTTATATGGAAGAACCAAATTAATATGTCTCTCTAAAGAGAGAGACATTAAGAACATTGGCTATATAAAAAATGAGAAATTAAATTTCCTAATTCTGTGGATAATGTTGTGGTAAAAATGTTACCTAATCCCTGTAGTGATCTTCACTCTTACCACAAATTGTTAGGCAGTCCCACATCCGTTGGTGAAGAAGGGGATTTAGGACTTATATGGAATAAGGGTTAATCCACGTAATGGGTTAACCTTTTGAATTGAATACCCCTAACCCAACAACTGGTATCAAAGCACGTTGTTCCAAGTAAAGATAACATGATCTATCACAAATAAGTAGGATGAAAGCTAATCAATTTAAGTTGGATTGCGTCTGTTTTCCAATAGTAGTCTGGAAAAGGATTCAACATTATTTGTAGCAGATCAGTTTCTATGTTGAATGACTTAATTGTTGATGAAGTTCACCCCCTATTAGGAGTGGACTTTTCATCTTATATGACAATTGCATAGGAAATGAATCATCTTCAAGCCTTTTTCTGTCCCAAGCTCAGTTCAAGCTATCAATATACTTCCCAAAGAGTTTTTTCATGTGACTTGAGGAGAAAGCTCAATCATCCTCACTACATGTTTGTACACACTGTCAAATACGATGAGAATGAGAAAAATATATATATATATTATGTTTTTTGTTTCTTTGATAAATATGGGTATTGAGTGTGTAATTTACTCTCTACATATATACTTTTTTTTTTTTTTTAACCTAGCAAATTTAAATATATGCTATTAAATATGGTTATCAATGTTAAAATGTCAGAGCATCTCCAACAGTTTGTATAAAATATACTCAATATGTCAAAAAAAAATTATATCCAGCGTGTGTTGGCACCCATTTTGGTAATTGGGTCTGGGCTCCAATTGGGCTTGATAAACAGTGACATGGTGTCATGGGCCAAGAGTATATGGGCCTGATGAATGATGATGTTTTAGACGCTCGGGCTGCACAAACATTGGGTTAAAGGATGCAGTGATAAGTTCGGGCTTGGAAACATGGATTTAAAGCACTGGATTTGGGTCGCAATTGTGATAGCATTGATACAGTGATATGGAAGTGGGCTACAGGTAATAAACAGTGACATGGCAAAGCTACACACAAGGGCATCATTGATCAGATAGGAGTATTTTTGAAATATTTTTGAACTTTATGTTAGATAAGATTTATATGTTTACCAGATTTTAGTTAGGAATTAATATTTAACTAGGAACCTTAATTTGAATTTAAATTTAGTAATGAGATAGAGTTTTATTGTAATTAGAGTACTTATTGGTAGGAATTTATTTCTAATATTTTATATAAATAAATAAAAGGGCATGCTGAGAAAGGGGTCCATCACCCTCAGAATCATTATTATTATTTGTTTACTTTATCAAGCTTTTCCAAGAATAACATCTTTACTATTTCTTCTTTCTATCTATCTATATTTCTCAATCTCTCGCTCTATCTATTTCTCTCTCTCTCAATCTTTTTTTCTTTCTATATTTGTTTCTCCCTTTTTCTATTCTCTAATCGTTACTATAATTTTTTCAATTAAAAGTCTTTTTAACTAAGGCAATTCTTGAACTCTAAGAGGAGTATCACTGTTCTCTTTATCCTCGCATCGTCTGAAAGTCAACCCTCGAAAGAGACTGTAGTTGACCAAATAAAATCGAACCATACAATTAGTTCTGGCACGCCCGTTTTTCATCAATTTAAGATCGGCTCTAGTCGGCCGATTTTAACGTCAACATTTTTGGCACGCCCGGTGGGACTCATCAGGTGAGTAAATTATAGTGAAGATGCCTCCAAAGCTAAGAAATTCGAAAGGTGTGACTACAGGTGACAATATTGACGAAAAGAACCAGCAACTCAGCTGTGGTGATGATGCCGACTCATCTATTCCATCCGATCTTCCTTTGGGTCGGGTACTGGAATCGATTATGCAGAAAATTAATGCCAAGCAAGCATAGATCGGTGAAGTAAGGTCCCAAGTGGGGGAATCAAATCAAATTTTGGTTTCTCAGATACATGAGATGAGGTCAATGACTGGGGAATTAAATTAAATGATGTACGCTCAAATGGAGAAGATGAATCAGAAGCTCGAAACCAGTATATCGGCTAATCAAAATCGACATGATCAAGCCGAAGCATCTCATATTAATGAGTCCATATTTCAGCGTATGACGGCACCATTGATACATATATCCCAAGGGCCTCGAACAAGCATTGTACTGCCAAGTGCAGGACTTGGTATTACAATCGACAATGTGCCGAATCATACACTCGGCATGCCGATAGGAAATCCACCAATCTTATCGGATCCGCCGACAGTAAATACTGTACCAGTGTACCAGCCACCAATGAATGATCAGCATAATCAAAATGTGCAGCGTCCACATATGCAGCCGATTCCACCAGTGAAAGATCAGCAAGAGGTGGTAGGCATCCTAAACCAAGGTAGGGCTAATCCATTGATACCTCCAGCAGCTGCCAGGGGGCAAGTAAATGCCAATCATCAAAGGGAGTGGGTTAATCCATTCATTATGTGGCATTCAAATGATCCTCCAGGAAGAAATGCAAGGATTGATAGGGCTCAGATTTTGGCTTTAATACAGGCCGAAGTAACACAGGGTCGCAGACGTGCTCGGCCTGTATACAGAAAGCCCTATCCTGATCATGTCGATGCCCATGAGCTGCCTAGAAATTATCGGTATCCCGATTTTTCTATGTACAGTGGCGAAGAGAATTTCTCTACGGTGCAGCATATTGCAAGGTTCACCGCACAATGTGGAGAAGCAGGTCCTAGCCCTTGGTTAAGGATGAGGTTATTTTCTAGCTCTCTAGTCGGGGCGGCATTTGAATGGTACAGCAACTTATCGGCCAATTCTATTCAGACTTGGGATGAGATGGAAGAGGCTTTCCATACCCAATTCTACCGAACAAAGACAGAAGCTACGCTGGCAGACATATCTCGATTATCTCAGTTGCCGAGCGAATCGGTTGAGACTTTTGTTGCCAGGTTCAGAAAGGCTAAACTCAAATGCCGAATAAGTTTGCCAGAACCAGAATACATCAAGTTGGCATTGAATGGCCTGGACATTAAACATTGCAAAAGGTTTGATGGGGTTGAGTTTCAAGAACTCTTCAACTTAGCTGACAGGGCTTCTCGGTATGAGGAAATACTGAAAGAAGAGAAAAAGAGGAAGAATTTTTCTAAGGGTACTTGGTACAATGACCCTAATTATGAAGTATTCTCTGCAGAAGTTGGAGATGGATTGGAAGTTGACGTTGTAGAGTTCAACATCAAAAACTCATACGTTTGTGAGGCGTTGGTTAAACCTAAACCGACCACGGGGGGCAATGCAACATCAACATCAACATCGGCAGCAAGGAAAGGTCCTACCGATACCGGGAAAAGCTATTCTTTCGATTTGTCAAAAACAGATCAAATCTTTGATCACTTGATGGCCGATAAAATGATATCTTTGCCTAAAAGGAATAAGATTCCATCGGCAAGTGACTTGAAAGGTAAAGAGTATTATAAGTATCATAACTCTTGGAACCATGTTACTAATGATTGTACTGTTCTACGAGGTGTATTGCAGAAAGCTATTGACGAAGTTACTTTAAAATTCCCGGAGAAAACTTCAGAGACTATGAAGGTGGATACCAATCCATTTCCTACAATCACATCTACAAATATGATAAGCTTAGCCAAGCGAGAGAATCGGCAAGAGGTTGAAAAGATATCAGGTGAGTTCCTTTCATTAACTGCAACACCTGAAAAAGTGGTAGAGTTGCAGAAACAATTAAGGGAGGCTCAATTGGCCTTGAACAACCATGGTTGTTGCCCAAATTGCAAAGAAAAGCAAAAACCAAAGGAAGATGTGCCAGTGGAGGTTCAACCAAAAAAGAAAGGAATTCTTGAGAGTCTTATTTTCCCAATTAAGCCTGGGGAAGAGCCTCAGCAAGGTGATCCCAGCAGCAGTCATCTGAAAACGGGAAAGCAAACTCAGCAAGTACATGTATCTAGCCGATTTCATCCCCAAAATCGACATCCCAGTTTCAAGAAACAGTCACCGGTTCAGTCAGAAATTTGGGTACAAAAAGGAGCCGATTCGTATAAAGTGCGAACTGTGAAACCTAGGACAGACTCAACTGAAAATAGATGGACTCGAGTTAATCATCCAAAATTCCCTAAAGCTCAACAATATCAGATTGGATGCCTAACTCGATCTCAGAAACGTAGGGAACAAAGGAGGAAAGCTGAAGAGAAAAGGAAAGCAGAAAAGGTGGGCACAGAAGAGTTTACTTAGTAAATCAGTACGGCTAGAATAAAAACCAACAGGATAAGGAGCATCAGCCAACATGGCCAAACAAAAAAATGAGTTCAAAATTTAGTTTGGTAGTTTCGCAGATGAGATGTCATGTAACATGGCATTTGTATTACCAGCTATGTTTCAGGCCCCATCGGCGTCGAATGCAAGTATTGGAAATGAAAGAGAAACAGAAAACAAAAGTAAAGCCAAGGGAAAAGAAACTCAGCGGATTCAAAACTTATCAATTCTTTCTTCAGAGTCGGCAGAAAAGGTAGTCTTTGAAAAACCTTTGTTAGCAATGACTCAACAACTAAGGCCTTTGTATGTCAAGGTATGGGTGGAAGGCCAACCTATTAACCGAGTCTCGGTAGACAATGGCTCAGTTCTGAATGTTATTCCAGCAAACACGTTGAAGAAACTCGGCAAGAGTATAGAAGATGTTATTTGTGATACCCCTCGGATCCGGAACACAGGTTGATCAGGCCCAGGCCCAAACCCGAGGGAATATCAAACAATTAAAGTATTTTATAACGAACACAGAATAAAATTTAAGAATTTAAATAAAGAAACAGAAAGAAATATAAAATCCTCCAGATAAAAATTATAATAAAACTCCAAATCTTCAAAACCTCCAAGGGTACAACTTGGGAATCCAACTAGTGGACCCCTAAAGAAAATCTCAACTGAACTGAAACTGAGAATAAATTAAACTGGAATCCTCGAGAGAAGTCCTACATATATGGATGAA